TAACCCTGGACGACATTGCCAAGTACTTCAACATCCCCATCGCTGATGCCGCTGACACTCTCGGTAACTTTATTTTTTCTCAGATTTTATCAGTTTCTTTTTTTTGAATTTTTTGATGGGTATTTTATTTCTAGGTGAGGACTTGGTTGTCGAAATTGATTGAACATATTTTTTTTGGGTATTTTTCTTATTGAAGTTGTGCATACTATTTTGAATTGTTGGGAAATTTCTTGATGGGTCATTGGGAAAGTATACATAATTTGTGGGGTTTATTTTTTTTGCTTGTGTTCTATAGATCTTTTACAGAAAGTTTTATTGATGTAAAAACGTTAGGTTCATTTAGTCCCATATTGACTTAAGCAGAGTCAATTGTGGGTTCACTAGAGATATGGGTTTTACTTTCATCCCTCTCGTAGTTAGCGTTTAGGGGCGAACTCTCCTTGTTCTCTTACAAATGGTATTTAGAGACGCAGTGTGACACAGCGCGGAAGTACTGATAACCTCGGAATCCACCAAGATGTTCTCTGAATCCACAAAGAACGATCTCCGAATCCACGAAGAAAATATTGAAAGAGTAGTTTTATTGATGAAAAGATATTATCATTTGGGGTTACATGACTCTTCTTAAATAGAAAAACAAATAAGACTCCTAGTAAGACTAGAATTACAAAAAAATAGAAAGTATTAAATTTTATCTTAAAAAGATTCCTTATAATAGAGGAAACAAATCATGAATTAAAATTGAATTTGTTTTCTAATCTAATTCGATCCTAATTTATTTCCTGATTTAAATAGACTCCAACTTTATTACTAAAAATAAACTAAAAACTGATTATTTTTGGATTTCAGTCAAAACTGGGTATTACTAATATGATTTTAAAAATATGACAATCTAGTTGGCTCCGTCTCGTCGAGATAGGCAATTTACATATACAATATATTAGAATCCGCCTTCTGGGTTGGAAGATATGATCATTTCTTTGCGGATGTCAATAATACGTATAAATCTGTATTTAGCTCGCGATTGTCTGCATCCCCCATGAAATTGTCAGTTAAGCATCCTATATCAGTCTCCCCTTGTTGAAAGAAGCTCGATCTCGAGTTTATATTTGTTTAAATAGTAACTTCATCGATAAATATCTTTCTTAACCTGCATCGATCAGCATCCGTCTTGTACTTAGCATTGATTTTCTTCATTTGTTCTTTTATGTTCTCGGCTAGGACTTCTTCTGAATCAAATGCATATATTATTCTTTCCGACATCATGTGTATTTTATTGGCGGCATGTGGATGTGCAGTTAACTTTAAAAACTCTACAAAATATGTTCCATGTTGCTTCTCGTATTCTAGTGCTTGAAGTATCATCAAATTATTTTTAAAATTATTCACCAACTTTTCTTCTAGGGAAGAAAATTCCGCGTCATACTCCATACACAATTCTTTCATCTCCTTTGTTTCTAGCACTCCACCAAGCAATTCACACATATCATCAACTGTCTCACTCTCTAATTTATCCTTCTCCTTCATCGGGACAACATCAATATGTGTAATATCACTCTCAACCCCTTTGAGAATATCATGCGTATCATCCATCTTCACTATCATATCACCATAATGAATCTCATGCATAACAATTGTTTGCACATTAGGAGGAATTTCAGTAGGGGTAAGTTCTTTTTTTTAGTTACAACCAAATCATAGATCTCTACAGATTTCTTCAAGTTTTCTCCTAAAGTCTCGTTGTTTGCCACCAAAAGTTTCTTCTCTTTAGTAGCTTTTATCTTAGATGATTCTTTTTCAGTAAGAGGCAGAAGTACAATTCGGCGTCCATCTTTTTTGAAGATATAAACATTGTCTCTATTTCTGTGGGTAGCTTTAATATCGAATTGCCATGGCCTACCTAAAAGCATATGATAAGTATCCATCTTGATCACATCACACAACACATCATTAAAATACCTGTGAGCGATAGAAAAAGGTACACAATACATCTCATCGTTCTACACATCATTGCCCTTGTGAATCCAGTCGATCTTGTAGAGAGGTGAGTGTTTCTCTGTCTTCAAACCTAACTTATTCACCATACGCTCTACTGTGATTGTCAATAATAACATCACAAATCTTCTGCATCACAGTGCACCTCGTGCGGAAGATATTATGCTCTTGAGGTGATTTTTCTTTCTTTATTACTTCTTTAGTGCTCTTCCCAACTCCAAGGTCTTGCTTAGGATCATTATCGCTGTTGAATTCATCATGTGGAGTCGAATCACGTCGCTGCCGACCATTAAAGCGATTTTGAACTCCTCTCGTGTTCAGACGCTCCACCGTCGATGCAAGTTGTTTTATGACAGTCTTTATCTGATTAACATTGGTCTTCAGCACATCAAACTCAGTTCGAGAAAAAGTATCTTCATCACCTGCCATCGGATCGGAGGAACAAGACTCTGATACCAATTGACGTAGCGTGGAAGTACTGATAACCTCGGAATCCACCAAGGGTGTTCTCTGAATCCACAAAAAACGATCGTCGAAGAAAATATTAAATTCTATCCTAAAAAAATTCACGAAGAAAATATTGAAAGAGTAGTTTTATTAATGAAAAGATATTATCCTTTGGGGTTACATGATTCTTCTTAAATAGAAAAACAAATAAGACTCCTAGTAAGACTAGAATTACAAAGAAATAGAAAGTATTAAATTCTATTCTAAAAATTCCTTATAATAGAGGAAACAAATCATGAATCAAAATTAAAATTGTTTTCTAATCTAATTTGACTGCAATTTATTTCCTAATCTAAATAGACTCCAACTTTATTACTAAAAATAAACTAAAAGCTGATTATTTTCGAATTTCAGCTAAAACTGGGTACTACTGATATGATTTTAAAAATCTGACAATCTAGTTGGTTCCGTCTCGTCGAGATAGGTAATTTACATATATAATATGTTAGAATCCGCCTTCTGGGTTGGAAGATATGATCATTTCTTTGCGGAGGTCAATAATACATATAAATCTGTATTTAGCTCGTGATTGTCTGCATCCCCCATGAAATTGTCAGTTAAGCGTCCTACATCACAGTGTTCAAACACGACTAGACTAGTGCAAAGGGAACACGAGTGGGTGCCGGGACTATGAAAACGCAGTGGTGTATTAGGATTCCATTGGTTCCATATTGACTGAATGGGAAATTAATTATAGGTACATAAGAGATTTGGAGGTACCTTCCCTGTAATCCAAGCTTTTTAAGGGTGGGCTCTTTAAGAACTTTTAATAAGATATTTTACGAAATTTCAGTATGATAATTGTGGACGATAGGGACTGCCGAGATGCTAGTATGTCTTCAAAGCTTGTTTTGCACAAAATTGATTGGTTTTTGTGTGTGTTAATTTTTTTTTTTCAGTTTTTTGGGGAAATTTACTTAAGTATTTTCTGTATTTTGATTGACAACTGACATTGTCAGTAAAACGTCTTGATGGTCGTTGTTAAACATTGGGAATAGGGTCCTGTCTTGTGCTAGTAAAATTTTTGAAGCTGATTTTTTTTATTTTTATTGTGTGGCTTAAAATTGATCATACATTTGTTTGGTGATGATTCTACAAGCAGTTACTTTATGTTTTTCTACCATATCTGCTTGGGAGTTGATTTAGTTTTTGATATGCAGGTGTTTGTACTAGTGTCTTGAAAAGGATATGTCGTGAGAATGGGATTATAAGGTGGCCTTACAGAAAGGTATTTTCTTAACATGTTCTATTTTGAACCCAAAAAAATAAAAATAAAAAATGTAGCTTTTGTTTGCTCAATATTTGTCCTTTTGTCAAGATTCTTTGTTGACAATGATGATTTATCGACTTGGATGCTTGACTTATGCCGGCAATGTTGCAAGCTAGGTTACTCGACATTTCATTTTGGCTGCCATGTCCATGTCCGACACATGTCAGACACAGATTTAGTGTGGACATGCCATGGACATATATGGTTCAAAGCGAAACCCGATTTCCTCATTACTTAAAACGCTAAACTGATTTTTGTGTGTGGGTATATTGGGTTCAAAACCAATGAGAAATTTGCACCCGAAAACCAAAACCCATCAATTAAAGATTTAAAAAATGACCATTATATCCCATTCAGTAAAAAACTAAACCTTATTCAATCTTTCTTTTCTGTTCCCACTTCATTTTCTTCGACCGAAAAAGGAGCGAAGGTCTCCATTACCTGTTGCTCGACGACCAAAGATCTTAATTTTTTGTTAGATTTAACTTAATTCTTAGTTGTTATAGATAATAAAATAAATACAAGTGTTATACTTATATGTATTTTAATTTAATATTTGATCTAATGTAAATAAAATACAAATGTAATTTAATATATAAGTATATATAGTCATGCCCCCATGTCCTACTTTTAACAAATCTGTCATGTCCCTTGTCCGTGCCCGCACCCTGCACCCATATTTGTGCAACCTAGATTGCAAAAATACATAATATCATTTTACGCAGGTCTAAAATATAGTATCTTCTCTAGCATGACTGGCTTGTATTTCTTTCTTCATAAATAAATCATGCTTCGATGTCTTTTGTGAAGTTGAGTTACCTGTGAAGTTGTGTTACCTTTTTTTGGGGGAAATGCTTGTATGCTTACATTATGAAGGCTTCATTAAAAGAGAGAGAAATTCCTAATCTAGGAGAAAGAGAAGCTTCTGTGAAGGGGAGAAAGACTACTGTTATGCAAATGAATTACACGGTCTTGAGTCATCATCAGTTTGCCTTTGCATACTAATTAAGAAATTTCCAATCCTATTGTGTGATAGGAAGATTCTGACCCATAACCCCTCCACAAGAAAGTGATATCGCCTGAGCTTTGCTTTGGTATTTGAGATTTACAAGATGCTATCACTATGCTGAATGAGTATGTAGATTCTGCCTTAATATATAATTTCTTGCAAGTTATTGGTACACTGTATCAGTAAGTAGGCTCATTGTGACCATATATATCTCTAGGCCCTTTGAAGTAAAGTAATTAACTTTTCACTTTCCATTTTAAGATTCAAATTTTGTTAACTATGATATTGGATCAGATAGAGGTCGAATACTTGTCTTAGAGATTGATGAATCATCTTGGTGGTCCACAAATGGAAAATTTTCATTTACTCATCCTTTTCACATTTTTATCACAAAAATTGTTTTACAAAATCTTCAGTCTCTACGAGCATTATTAGTTTGGCTTGCTTGCAAGTTTACACCTGAGAGAAGGTTATGGGCTTATCAACTGACTCTGATTACTAAGCAATAAATCATGGTGAATCGTTCATTCTGGTTGTTAAACATCCATTTATGTAAATAAAGAAACAATATTATGCTTCCAACATGACCATGCAGTCATGCTTTTTAGTTCATTTCATCAGATGAGAGTTACACAGCAAGAATACTCCCCATTTTCCATGTGCCGCGTATCACGGAGCTGCCAGCTCAATAGCATTAATGAAGTGCAACAAGTTGAAGAGAAAACCCAAGTGTGTTAAGAAAGTTGAATAGTGAAAAGTGCAAATAGCATAAGGAACTTAACACATGCTAAGCAATAACACATGGGCCACTACTTACGTATATCAAGTAATGTTAAATGAGTTTACATAATCAATCCTACATTTTGGTTAAGCTTGAAAGTATACAAGTGATTTCCAGGAAATAGGTGGAACAAACTGGATAGTTATACATGCATTGATGGGTATAATGATCTAGCGAAACATTAATCATGGCATCAATTATCTAGAGCAGAGATGAATCTGAGCTAGTCAGAACACCATGACCACCACACCACCAACAATAAAGCCTTTATTCTAAATATACTTTTGGGATCTTCCATTCAGCTCTGTTGAAAAATTATTATGCATTATGTATGGTATAAGCCTTCTTCTTTCTCCGCCTATTGAAGGAAATTTATTTATATCCAAATTTTACTTGAGAACTTCATTGGATAGCTCTGGTTGGGACTCACAATTATCCACAAGCCTGATTGAGAAGTAGTTATAACATTTATCATCCATGGCATGGCAAATGCCATATGTTCTCAAATTACAGTTCTCGGTTTACAAACTGTTGCACATTACTTGATTGTCAATTTAACATAGTAGGAGAGGCCTTTGATTTTGTTCATGTAATCTTTCTCCTCTTTTTCCTTGTTTCTCTTTAAATCTTTATTGTTATTCGAAAATGGTGAAGAGAATGACCAGAATAAGAGAAAGGATACCACCTTAAATTTAAACTGAAATGAGATGTTTCTAGTGATATTTCGGTTTTATTTGTTGTTGTTTTTTGTTCACACTTGGGGTTACTAACAGCGTTTTATGAACATTAAATGCTAGCAAAACACATGCTAGAAATGCACAGTTCCATGTTGCTTCTGCATTCAGATCCTCGCTCCCAACCGCTGCCATACCTAAGTGTCACTAATAGTTGAGACAGAACAGAGATGTATTGGGCCATGCAGGCTATTATGTACCATAACAATTGGATCAAGCTATTGTTATAGGGTGCAAGATGTATATGCTCTTGAATTCAATTTCACTTGAAAGTAGTTTAAAGTAGTGGATAGTTTTCCCGAGAAAAGTTGAGCGTCCTTTGGCTGGTTTTATGCACCTTCAGGCTTTTAGTTTCCTATCGATGTTCACTACATCAAGCAGAAATGCACAGAGTTCGAGTGGACTGTTAACGAAATGCTGTTTTGCTGTCCCATCCCATCTATGACTAGTTTAGGCAGTCAGTGTGTATTGTATGTAGAATGTACAAAAATGTTCATGTTTACTACCTGAAGTTCATGAATTTTCATTTCAGGAATGAAAAGGAAGTCAGTTAACAGTAAAGATTGATCAGTAACATGAGATAATTGAGAATTTTGTGTAAATTTTCTAACAATGATATGGAAAGAAGTCAGTATGGCTACTTCTAAGGTATATTGTAGTTCCTATAAAATGTCATAAAGGTAAGCCCGAACCAGAATATTGTTTGTTAGGTGGTGGTGGTAGTGGTTGTTGTGTGTGTGTGTGCACATGTCTGTGTGTTGTTTTCTGTTCTTCTTTCCTTTTGGTTGGGGTGAGGGGTTTGAATGGCAAGGAGGATAGGAGATTGGTTGTACAGCTGTGTAAAAGCAAAAGCTAACAGTTTGAGTTTAATTGATATTAAGTTCTCAGTTGATCGGAGAGAAAAAAGGGGGAGAATATGTTTTTTTTTGTCTGAAGTTCACGATTTTATTCTATAGAAGATATTTATTTTGATTATCTGTTTGAGCCATGTGCTCAAGTTTGGCAAGAAAATTTTCATTTTTATAGCTCTTGGTTGAAAACTATCCTCGTCTTGTAAGAGGAGTCAAATGCTTTGAAATGAGTGCTAAACTCCATTTTATCTATGTGATAACTTATATGTAATGGAATTAAGAAACTTTACCATTTAAGAACAAAATATATGAACTGAATTTGGTATGTTCCACACTTAGGATTTCTTAATTGTAACTTTAACAAGACAGCCCTCTTAGAAAATATCGAACTTCCTATGCAATCTTTTGGAAGAGACTTGCTTCTTTCCCCCAAAACTATCTGTTACCCATTTACATCAGTTTTTTTTTTCTTTTGAAATCTGTAAGCAAGAGGATATTGTGGCTGCCATTGAAACTAGTCCTGCAAAATAATATTTTGGAGCGACATTACCATAATAAACAAAAGACGAAAACATTCAGGGTATAAAGTGCATCCTTTAAAAGTGTCATAAAATAACTTGATCTGTTCTTATTGCCTAAATTGTAATCCATGGCCAAATTAAATATTTGACATGGTTTTATTGAATATGGAATGTTAGTTGGATCAAGTACTAAATCATTAATAGCTTTGGTGCTTTTAGCTATACCTTATAGTGAATGATGTGCAACAGTTGGGGTCAAATCTTCTTTCATCTTTTTGTGAGAATTTATTGAGCAGAGTAATGAAATAAAAAGAACAGCATGTTTTAAATCCAGCCAGAGGAAAAAGTTTGAATGTTCCTCCAAATGTTTATTGAGAAATGGTGATCAAAATTCTTATTTTGGTGTTCTAATTGAGGATGGATAAGGCCGTTATCAATTAGTTTCCAATTTCCCATGTTATGTTGAATGTTTTCAACACTCCTTCCATGGTCTTCGGAATCCTTCTACTGTTTGTTTTGCATAGTGCTTGATTCGATGATTGTGCTCAATCAGTTAAAGATGTTCATAATGTTGTAATTCTGCGTTGTTGTTCACTGTCCCACATTCTAATTATCTTCCTTGCACGTTTGTCTAGTTTCTTGCTGGGAAGACTATTGAGGATATAAAGAAAGAAGCTGCAAGAGAAAAATCCAAGGAGCAAGCTGCGTTATCCAATAAAGCTAAAAATCTTGATGCTCAAAAAATGATGCCGTCAACTGCAGCTGGACTTTCAACTCAGTGAGTGAATATTCTTGTTGTATTTTGTACCAATGATGCCTATAAGTCTGTGATATTGCTCTGGGGAGGGTGAGCCTTGGTGCAACAATAAGGTTGTTGCCTTGTGACCCGGAGGTCATGGGTTCAAACCCTAGAAACAGGCTCTTTGTATGCGGGGGTGAGGCCGCGTACATCTGACCCTCCCTAGAGCCCAGGATGGTGGCAGCCTCGTGCACTGGGCTACCCCTTCTTCTACATCAGTTTCTTTGTTAAAGCAAAGCTGGTAATATTCTCTTTTTAAGAAATTTAGACCATCCGTGAAATTCTTTGAATAGATTGAAACAGAGATGGAAATTTGAGATGCTAATAATTTTTTTTCTCCCTCTTCTCTGAGATCCTAAACTATTTTCAAGGCCTTATTAACATTTAAAGTCAAAAAATTTGATTACGTTAATCTTGAATTACATTGGTTACTTTGGCTCTTATCACTTTGATCATCCTAACTATCTGTCACTTCTATGCTGCCCTCTGTTACAAATCCTTCATGAAAAAAATCAACAATTTCAGTTGTTTTCTTCCAAAATTCTCAAATGGTCTTATGCTTAAGCATGAATGTTTTTGTATTAACTAAAGTTATGCATATTATTTTGATTGTTGGACTGACGTATTTTTGGTTTGCACAGCGGGAATCTTGTTCAGAGTATAACAACAGGACATGGGTTTTCTGCATCAGGGAATATGTTGCAACCACAAGCAAATAGAAGTTTCCAACATGGATTGCATAGTACAGTCCAAAATCAGACGAGGCATATACCTACCTACTTCGATGATTTTAAATATGGGTTTCCAGCAAATGGCCTGTCATGTACTTCAATTAAATGGTGGGGAAGTAACAGCATTGAAAGTAGTGAGAAGATTGATTCGGGGAAATCTGCAGCCAACAAAGACGGAAAACAAAATTCCTGCAAATTCAATGAGTCCTCTGAGTGTATGATGATTGATGACCAATCTGATGGTAGTAGCATAAAGGACAGTGCCACTAAAATAGAGCCATCAGCTTCCTTGGTATCTCTAAGAAAAAGAGCTTTAGAATTTGGAATTGAGTCGCTTCAGGTTGGAATATCAAATTGTGAACCCTACAAGTTGGGTAAGAGAAAGCGGTTACTTTTGTTGCAAGTGTTTGGATCTTCGTTGCCAGATCAATGGAAGGACGGTTGTTCTTGAAGTTATGAATCAATTATTATTCAGATCTTCAGAATGGTAAGGATCGAAGCATAACTTATAGTTTTGGCCCATTACTAATAACATTTCCTAATTTCTGCGCATATCTAGCTAGTATCATGTTGATATTGTTGCCGGTACCACTTCAATGTGTGTGTGTGTGTGTGTGTGTATTACTTATTACATCTTTAGCTGATGGAAACAATATTTTTGGATATAAATAGGAAACACTTTGTTTACAGTAGACAATGCCTAGTACCTATTTTGACTTAAACATCACAGTTTGAAACAAAATCGACGTTTGATGTTTTCAAGAAATTAAAATGTAATAAAAATCTCTTGTTCTTCCTCAATTCTTCCTCAAATTCCACTTTAGTCAAGTGTCCTTGTGATGCTGATCTAGCCACATCAACTTCCAGCAATCAACGTTAAAGTTCAAATCTAAATCTAGGTTTGAGCACCTAAAACCATCTTAGCACATCTTTCCTCATTCTTTTTTTTTCAGCTTCCATGAAACAAAAATTAGTGTCTGTAGCATGTTTAATTTTATCTTTCACTTAGGAGCTTAATTTTGTCTTGGAATTTGAATGTCATTCAAAACTAGAGTTTTTGGTGAACTAAGACTCTATGTTTAGTCTATAACAATAACAAGCCTTGTACTTTGTTTCAGTTTTTTAATGAGTGAAAAGTCAGTATTGACTACTGATATTATTTTTAAGGTAATTTTCTTGTGGAATCAACACATTATCATTATCGTTAAGAAGGAATGCCATGATCAATAAAAAGAGCGATAAATAAATGGATTCAACTGCTTCAGCTAAAATTGGCATATAAATGAGACTATGAATTTGTGTTTGCATCACATTCACACCATATTTTTTAGTTTCTTTTGAAAAAAATATTTTTTAGTATTAAGACATAATAGAAAAAAATAATTAGATTCTGTTTTCTTTGTTTTTATTTGAAGAACTTGAAATACATTTACCCAGTGAACTGTAGGATCGAAAATGCTGATTGTCTTATTTCTGCTTATCCGCTTGGCATTTCACTCATGATAACTCGTGATTAGGAAACCAATGACATCAAGGATACCTACTCGTGCACTTCTTGGTAGCATCTTATTTCATGTTATAAACTCGCCTAGACACTAAAATGAAAAGAAATAACAAAAATGTCATGCAGATGACATGTCACTAGTTCACAACTATAAACTTTCGAGATCATAGAAAAAGTTCCATTAAAATCCTTAAAACAGGAGAAGAGAAAAGGAAAAATTAGTCTGGCATAGTTTGGACTGAAGTGAAATGCTTTCTAAAACCATCCATTCTTAAATATCTCATCTTGGTTGGAGGCTCATTGATACTATTGTACTTATTAAGATTCTCAAACTTAATTGTTAAGTCAAAAATTGAAGACCCAAGCTCCCGTTGATTCATTGAAGCTCAATTCAGTTCATTTCGATATGCAAACATACAAACATTTAAGATAGAGCCAAATACATTTGGGTTGTGTTCTTATACATTTTTATCCAGTGTACAATTTGGTTGCTTAACACTTTTAGTTAGCGGCTGTTGCACTTATAAAGCGCGTTGGCCTTATTTGGTAATGGATTAGCCAACTCTTGATTGAATAAGAAGGTTTCATTTATTCCAATGTATTTTGGAATTTGTAACTTACTGGTAAAAAGCTTGGTATGTAACAACTAGGATACACGTGCTATTTATATAGAAGTATCTTCAGAACTAACCGAGGTAAATTTGCCCAATATTTGATTAGTAATTAACAATAGAATTCGGCTGTTTACGTGGAAAATGTGTTTAAACAGTCTGAACTCAAGAATGAGTTTTGCGAATCTTACAGAAAGATTAGTAGTTAAATATGGAGCTTGACTCTTTAGCCTGACTGTTTACCTTGAAAATGCTTTAAAAGTCGGAAAGCGAGAATGAGTTTTGCGTTATCTTCGAGAGAAAAAGAGGGAGGGGCGGGTGGGGGGGGTTGGGTTTTATGTTCAAGCAGGAATCTAGGCTTCTTGTTTGAAAGATAAAGGCCTTTTAACCTGACCAAGTTCAATCTACAATGAATCCTGACACTATGACATGGGTGCTAACTCTTCATCAATATCCTATGCCAATCTGCAAGTCAAACAAGAAGAAAAATCCTTAATTGATTTCTTTCATATCGATTTTACATGCATGCAATTGTTAACAAAATCTGAGTTGCTAACTTTTATCATAGTGATCGCAGGTTGCCTCAAACGATTCTGCTCACCTGTTCAAAGCCTACTGCTTTAGATTCTGGCAAAGCTGATAATTATTGCGAGGAAAATTTAACATCTAATTGTTGTAATATTGACATCATCTGTTTGAGTTACTATATCGTTTTAATGATGAAATACTGGCAACAATGATTAAATGAATTTTTCGGATCACAGGAAAGGGTGATCTAATCATTTTTATGCCTTCTTAAAATGTTCTTTAGTTAGTAGTAGTGACAATGCTATGTCATCTGCAATGTCTTGTGCTATTTTTTTCCCTTCAAATTCAATGATCTTCACTGATAACCTTCAGCAGGTTCCACATTGATGTAGGCTATTGTTATCTCGGAAGGAAAATAACTAGTCTTGACAGCAACTGGTGAAACTACCATAATTTTTGTTTTTTATTTTTCATTTTTAAGAAGATTGATTATGGTGAAGAACGGTGGAAGGACAAAGAAAAGAGAGACAAGTTTATCAAGGCTTAATGCAGTTGGAATTTGATGGAAATGATTGTTTTAATGGTGTGAATTAAGCATACTTTCTATTTGATATAATGCTAGCTATACAAGAAAGAAATCACTATTATCTAAATACTATGAGCAACTCTAATTAAAATAAATGGCCTCAAAGGATCCAAACCTCTCCACAAATAAGAAAAGGGGGCAGGTGTTACCTAACTTAGCTGACTTAACTTACAAGTTTGAAAATAATACATAAATGACTTTGGACTTGAACAAAAGCTATCCGTTTAAACACAATGAACGCCCATTAAAGGTGCTTGTTTAAGACCTCTTTTCTAGTTGGAGTTCGATGAAAACATACTTAGAATAGTAGGAGTTGTATTATTAGGGAAATGTGGGGTATGTTTACTAAGAGAATAATTCTTTTGAGAAGAATGCAGTTTAGAATTCAAGAAAAGGATGGCGGTCTAGCAAATGTAGTCATTGTTACAACTCTTACCAGTTTTGCCTTCTCTACTTGCTCAGCTACTACTTAAAAAAGCAACAGAGTTAAATGCTTGTGATTCATTTGGGCTCATAAAGCCTTTCCTTAAGCATTATTCTCATTTGAATGAATCCTCATTCAAATTTCTTTTTCTTTATGAGAGCTCCAAACTGGACCACAAGCATTTAACTCAGCTGCTTTTTTTGTTTTCTCACTGTTGGCTAAAGCGCAGAGGGACAAAGATGCAAGAATATCAGCCACCTTAAATGTAGTTAAGACTTTCACTCTCTCTATTTATGCAAATTGAGCTCTCATTCTCTCATTTCCATTCTCTCTGTTGCTTGATAGAGAGCTGAAAGGATGGCAAGAGGAGCTTCAGCATTCCCGTCTCTTTCACTTATCTCAGCTGCACTCATCCTGCTTACCTTCACCTCAGGTTATCGTTTTCGGTCTGACATCTTCTTCTTCATCTTATTTCAGCACTTAGTATTACTTGTTCCCTTCGGAGTGTGCCATATATTTTGCGTATGATCCCATTAGAAAGCAAAACTTCAGGCTTTATTAGTTTCAACAGTGTGTATAATTGCATATGATTTCATGACAAGGCAAACTTCTTCCCATTTCGGCTTGACATTTCACTTCTTGGAGTAATTATTCTGACTTGTTTCCTTTAGACCGTAGCATAAGGATATGCTAATAGTTAATAATTATAACTTAATAAAGGAGAGAGAACCCTTGGCAGAATTGAATGGAATACTAGGATTCATATAACGGGGCCTAAAAATTTAGGATACAGGCTTTATTGCTGTAGCACTAATTTGTCTCACCATGTGAGTCTTTAATACTGTGTAAGCCAACACTTGAGCTCGCAACCCTTTTTTTAGACTACCGAACACTCAATTCCTACGCATCCTCAACCTCCTGTGACTGATCTATTCTTGTTTTCTCTGCCAGGAGGAACTCTGAGATCAGTTCAGGCACAGGTATAGAAAATATACTGATTTCCTGTAAATTTGCACTGCTGACAAATAATCGAAGAATTTTCTCCTTCTTCACAGAAAACTTGGTGCGTTGCAAAGCCTTCATCAGAGGAAGCAACACTTGTCGCAAACATCAACTATGCCTGTTCTCAGGTCGACTGCAGCATTTCGTACCAGGGATTCCCTTGCTTCTACCCTGACACTCTCATCTCTCATGCTTCTATTGCAATGAACCTCTATTACCAAGCAAATGGAAGGCACTACTGGAACTGTGATTTCAAGAACTCTGCTCTCATTGTCACAACTAATCCGAGTAATGTAACCTGTAAATTCTCCATTTAAGTTTCACTTTCTCATTGTTTGAAGGTTTCTTTATGTTGATCTTGTTTGCAGGTTTCGGCATCTGTGTTTATACCTGATATGTGCATGATATCAAAGAAGAGTACTTCAGCTATTATTTACTGACTCCAAAGTTTGAAGTACAGATTGAAAGATGGAGGAATAAGTGATAATATGAATTATCAGTATATGTAATAGAATGATTTAGTATGGGACTTTCAAATCATCATTTGTGGTTTTTGTTGTTTATGATGGACAACCATAAACCTTTTCCAGTAAACACCTGAAGTTTAAAAACCACAAAGCAACTTTTCAAGTAAACACCTGAAGTTAAACAACAACTACAATGATAACAGCAAAGAAAAGACATTATAAAAATTTTTCGGGTTAGCAATATGAATTATATTCTTGCTTTCAGTTCTGTTTAGGGCTATCTCCCCCAATACATCAACTATATTATCAATTTTCTCTAATTTTTTCCTCAAAATTAGTAACCTTTAACCTCCCATGAATGCATATACTACCTTATCATAGTCTATATCCACAAATCCATCACACGTGTTGTTTCTTAATTGCTCAACTTTCTGATGTACAAAAGAAAATATCTATACAAAATATGCCATTCAGAATACTGGTCCCAAATAAGCAAAAACTCAAACCACAAATATTTCACCAGCCTGGAATACTCGAAAGAAAGAAAGAAAAGATTTATTTTATTCCGAGAACTAAGGTTTCTTGAACTCAACAAGAAAGCTCAGGGTGCATACTGGACACAATACATGAAAAACTTCAAAGTAAGAGCGCATGCATAATAGTACACGGTGACAAAGCCTCGATAAAGCACTAAAAGTTCTAGACACCAAATCTTTCTCGGTCATGTGGAGAAGAGAAATCAATATTGGAACCAGCAGGGATGATACCATAGGGATTAATAGTAGGATGGCTTCCATAATAGTGCTTCTTGATGTGGTCCATGTTCACCGTGCTGCTCATGCCCGGAATTTGGTATATGTCTTTAGTGTAATTGAACAAATTTGGACATTCACGCAATAGCTTCTTGTTGCACTTGAAATGAACTGCATAAACCTGTATAATATCTCTCTCCGTTAGCCATAGCTCACAAATGCACAGAGAAAAAGACAGACGGTCCATAATATTTTCACAGGCATGTTTTCAAGTTGATACTTGATACTTGTAAAACAATATTGTTACCATAAGAACGTCCACCAGCTTCCACTATGTTTATCATCAATATAATGGCATTTAGCGTAGAGTTTGCAACGTCCAAAAGAGCTGAACTCATTGGATAGTATTCAGTTGATCTTGGGAATACACTGATGACAGCACTCAAAACTGGTTCTGAGAATTGAGGAATTCCTAGAATGCAGTCGCAAGCTTGTTCAAAAACTAAGCGGTGATGATAAATGCTGCCTTCATGTTTTGGTATAGCTAGTTATACATAGACATCAGTTATGCTCTAAAACAAGAATCATTGAGGATGCATACGTATTGTTAAGTCGAAAGACAAAAGTTCGTAAATTTTTTCTTCCTTGGCGGAGGAAATTGCTAAGGTACTTCAAATTTAGCATCTAGAAAGTAGCATATCATTAGGAGTAAGTTTCTATTACAAATAGAAAAGAGGGTGGGGTAACTGGGGTTTAACAGCTACCTTGCTACAGCATTTATGTCTAAGAAAACACAGGATACTTGCGAATCTATAATGAGATACATACCTCATCAAACCTTATGAGAGTTACAAACAAACGGATATCAGCTTCAGTCAGTACATTCCCACAAATATACCTCTGATTAGCTAGTATTTCCTCGCATTTGTCCAGAGCTTCATATAGCTTAGATACTGCCTGCACGATCATAAAAGAAAAGAAACTTCAACCTTGACTAGGTAAAAAAATCACTTAAACAATCTACAGTAAAGACAACTAAGTCAATTACCTCATCATAAGGTCCTTGTTTCTTAGCAAAACCACACTTGTAAACACCATTGTTTATTGCTTCATAAACCCATCCATTGACATCATCGATAGTTGCTTGCAGGTGAGAGGGGTACAAGTCCAGATCAGGATTCTTCGCTATTTCATTAAATTCGCTGTTTAACATCCGAATTATCTCTGCACTCTCATTGTTCACAATTGTCTTCAATTTTTTATCCCATAGAACCTGCAATATACAGTGTAAGAAAAGTAACATCTAGTCGAATAAAGGGTTGATTACACATAGACTGTAGTCACTGTTTTGAACTTACTAGGCATGTAGTTTCATTGTAGCAGATAAACTCCCCTGGGTTAAATCTTTTTAACTCACAAATTTCATCAAGATATAAAGATGCAATATCTTTTGAAGTTCCACCAAGGGTAAAAAAGTCTGAAAAAATTAACCCACAGGGTATATCTGCAACAATTAAACTGCAGGGTAGTAAGTGCGAAAGAAGAAACACTACAGGGGATCGATGTGCAATTAACCTTAAAGTAAATGGTACTAATAGCTTGGAAATGCAAACTGAAAATAAGATACATACAGGAACAGTGTATTTCCCAGAATAATTTGAACTGGCAAGCTCATACAATTCCCTGACACTTTTAGCTCCATTCAGAGGGTCGAGATCAGCTCTGGCTTCTTCTGTCTCAGAAACAGGAAAGACCCATCCAAAATGGTCATCGGTCTCTTTGGTCCTCTCCCACTTTGGCTTAACTGACTTTAAAATACACCATACGAACTTTAAGATATTATATTATCTATAAATAAAAATATAAATGTCAAGTTTTGAAGAGAACTATACTGTAAAAGTGATTGCCTCATCAAGGCCCTTGAGTTTGATAAAGGATAGACATCTGGATGCCCAAGGGCATGCATATGATATGTAGAGATGATATCTTCCTGCTTCTGCAGGAAATTTTGAATTCTTATCTTTCAAAATAAAATTGCGAAAAGTTGATGGCGTGCGGTTGAAAGCACCAGTCTCTGTCATTTCATCTAGTGCTGATCGAGCCATTTGAACAGAGTTCTATACGATGATAGAAGTTGCAGTTTCAATATGAGCCCACAAACCAAAAAAGAGTAAGAATAATAGGATGATTATATTCAAAGAAAGGTTTAAGTACCAGAACCTCTCCAAACATGCAATAATAGATCACAAAAGCAGTTCCATAATAGTTTTGAAAACAATCACTAGCGTATCCATCTAGAACAAACCTTTATCTTTTTCCTTCATACTAAACATGATTGAGAAAATATCATACAAGAAAATAAAATAGTTACTAAATTTCTATTGGGCAAATTATCGGTCAAAATATCATCCTGTGAAATTGGCAAATAGTAGAGATTTCAAAATTTCAGGGATTAATTGATTGGTTTTCTATTACATCAATGTTCTAGCTTATATAGAAGCCAAAGCATCATCCTTTCGTAGACACTGACCAAGATAAGGATGGGCACAACAATAGTTCTCTGGATAACCTTATGGAAGAACACAAAATGCATTAACTTGGAGAGCATCAGAGGTAATCTCCACGCAAGTCATGAAGATGTACAGAGTAGATAACTCACATATATAAGGATCCATTTCTCATATGTATACTATATACCGGAAATAGATGTGCCAGAGAGAGTTTAGTTTCAAGTTGAATGAAGTCAGTGACAGAATCAAGGTGTTTTTGTGACACAGATCACTCCTCTTTCAAGACGATGATTAGATTCAGTAAAACACAAAATGTGAGGCATAAGCCACGAAATACATACATAACTTCTTTATTTAAAACAAATAAACAACATCATAATGCTGTAACATTTTTTTTCAATCACTAATAACATTTTCATGATTAATTCTTATTCATTTGTCAACAAAAAAAGAAGAAGAAAAAAAAAGAATTATATAAACGCTACACAAGTTTAACAAATTGCAACTAAAAAAATTGAGAATTTGAGATAGCCCCGAATTTCATAGAGTTCCACAGTATGAAAGCCTTACATAATCCAAGACAAGTTTCCATAAACGTGCTGACCAAATACAAACCAAATATACTAATTAGCACTCTTAACAATCAAATGAATAGCATCATTGTAAATTCTCAGACATAGTGAACAAAAGTTCCAATGCCTTTTTGGTTTACAATCTAGCAATCGATACACAAAACGGTTTTCGATTCCTGTGAAAACACACACAGATCAAAGTCTTTTCATACAAATTAAGTTTCAACAATGCAAACAAAAGTTTTGAAAGTACAGATTTCTTGCTATTGCTTTTTCCTTTTTAGAATCCTCTCTAATGAATCAATAATCTCCCCTAATTTTCCAGTTTTCATCCTGTCATTAACTTGGGAATAGAGGAAAATACATTTCTTCGCCTTAAAAAATAAAATTCAACCCCCTTGCAAAACTCTTTGCATTTATAACATTCATAATTTAAAGCTTCATCAATTTCTGCAGTCCAAACACCCATACATAGAAAAATACTCAAAAAAATTATGACAGACAAACATACATATGCCTTAATTTCATAAGAAACCCCATTTTTTATCATCCAATCCTCAATTGGTCACATGAAGGAAGATGGCATCAACATACCCATAAGCCAAAAACTTTAGAAAATGCTACAATTCACCCACATGCCGACAATCATAAGGGCCCAAGTCCCAATTTTGCAAACAAAAAAATGAAAATAAATGAACACATAATACCCATCAAAAAGAAAATTTAAATAAATATAATATCTGAGAGAAGAGAATCGTACCTTTATAGTGGAAAATGATTTCTTTTGTAAAAAGGGTCTCAGTGGCAGCTGAAGAGAAA